GATGAGCTTATATCTTTAAAAGTGTCAATAGTTCACAAGATACAAGGTCATTTCTCAATTATGTGTCTAGAGATAGAGCATTTTCGAATGCAACCAAAATAAATTTTTCCGAATCTAATTTATATGTACGTAAACTTCAAGTATAATGTCGTTTTATGTATCGTGACAAAAATCCTGGTTTACTGCTTGTAACATTAAAGGTTACTAGCAACCTTGCTTTATTAAATAATTACTTTTGTTAAATTGCACTGTAATTTCTTAAATATTGACATTTGTAAAGATATAAGCTCATCCTGATGTTACATTCATCAAGAGCTTTCATTTGAATACCCACATGCATTTTTGATATATTTTTCATATATACATATATATAATATATATAAATATATGAAAAATTGATGTGGGTATTCAAATGAAAGGTCTCGATGAGTGTAACATCGGGATGAGCTTATATCTTTAAAAATGTCAATATTTTACAAGATTCAAGGTCATTTCTTAATTATATATCTAAAGATAGAGTATTTTTGAATTCATACTAAATACTTATCATCATAAATTGAATATCAGTGAGAATGATATGCAACCTTAAAAAGGTACAAATTCAAGTCAAGATCTTTGCAATTACACTAAATTTCATTTTAAAATAAAGAGATAAAATTTTTTTAATTCTCTTAATTATGTAGATAATTTCTATGGTTGACGTTTAAGTTTAAGTGAGAATTACTTGTGATTAAATAATAAAAATCAATGTAACAGATATTTGACAGTTTTTTTAATAAATAAATTATGACAAAAAAAAATGAGAAAAATAATTGAAATTTAAAAAAATTAATAATGCATAAATTCACTCAATTAATTATTATTTAGAAAAAAGTTAATTTTTACTAAATTTGAATTATCTATTCAATAAAATTATTTACGCCTGTTAGTACATGTATTAAAATTTTTTTTTTAATTTTCTAACTACAAAAAATCTATTAAAAATTTTTTACATTCTAAAAAAAATTCAATCTTATTCATTTTATTCGTAAAAATTTTAAATATTTACAAGAATTAAAAGTCAAAATTTGCTCTTTAAATGCGTCAAAAAAAAAAAAAAATAAAATTTCTGCAAGTAACTTTTGCGCTGTAAATAAAAAAACTCTAATTTAAATTGTGAGTAAATAAAAAAAATCCTAGATTTATTAAACAAATCTTAGCATTAATATTAATAAAAATAAAATATAATCATAATAAAAAAGAATTTGAATATTTAATAAATAATTTATACAAAATACGTATTATTCATCTCGACTCATTGACTTATACTTTACATTTGAGGCACTCTAGAAACAGCTAGCGCTTGGAAGACTCTCCTGAGCCGTCCTATCACGCGTTTGCGTTTCAGCTGTCGCTTCCTGAGGCAATTAGACAGCAATCTTTTGAGGAATATCATCGTCAGAACGGTAATAATTGTGACAGTCAAGAAGAAGCTCCAGGAGTTCAGCGGGAAGAAGTATTTAGAGTTAGTAACTGGTTCTATATACGTCTGCTCGATTTCAAGGCTGAACTGAGGGTGGGAGTTGTACCCAGTGCCTCCGCGTCGGCGGAGGACCCAGGTCGGGTCTGCGTCTGGTGAGAGAGGCACTGCATCAGCCTGTTCTTCTACTGACAGGATTTTCTGGGCTCTGTACAAATTTCTGTAAGTAAACAAGTATTTTGAGATTGAGGCAAAAATTAATAAATAGTTAATTGCAGGTTGATTACTTACGTGGGGATTGATTCGTTAAGAGGACTAGGAATGGCAAGAACAGCAGAAGGGCAAGCTGGCAAAGGTCTGAGTCGTTGGGTTCCGTCGCTTTCAGTCATTAGCAGGACTTTGCTGTGTCGATGCAACTGGCTACCTTGCATTCGTGATGGAAATTTACCGGAGTCCAGGTCTGATGATACTTCGTTGTTTTTCGGGTCCAGGAAGATTGAAGGGACGTTTCCTGTAGCTGTGTACTCGAGAATTGCGTCCAGCATCCAGAAGCAGGCAGCTGAAATTGAAAAATTTTTTTTTTTTTTTTATATAATATTTGAAGATTATTCACGGAAAATTTTAAGTCAATATAATTTATAATTCTAAAGATTTATAGTAATTAATTGATTTAATAACTTTAATAAATTCAAGGTTATTAATTTAATTAACAGTTTTAAAAATATCTCATAAAATATTATCAAAATTTTTTTTAAGAAATTTTTACCAAAAAAAAAAGATTATTTAGAACTAAAAGTGGAATTTTTTAAAAATTATTATTTTGTACCAATTTAATTAAATCACAAATTTAAAAAATGTATGTTGATTTTAGTGCCATTATAAAATTGTTTAAAAAAAATTTTTTTTTTGGTAGGGTAAATGCACCAGTTGTTGACCGGTCACCAATTAGTTGACCGATGTATAAAAAAGTTAATTAATTAATATTTTACAAGGGTTTTTTTTTTT